GAACCTGGTTACGACTTCGCCTTCTTCACTGATAAGGGTCGATGGACTTCTCACAGCAGCGTCAGCTGCGAACCGCCCGCAATCCAGACACTTCAGCGGGCCATTCACTCGGTAGGAGCTATGGGCGAAGGATGAACCAGAGCACCAGCGGCAGATCGGCATCAACAGCCTGTGGGATGACTGCAGCAGCTGGAGTAGCGCCCGCGTCCAGAAAGGCACCAGCTTGGATGACAAACGTACCTGGTCGTGTTGATGGGCCAGGTGCAGCTGCAAGAACGAACCTGGAGATGGCTATCCGCGGTGTGGGATAGCGAGAGTGGGAGGGGGGGCCGAGGAGCAGAGGTTCAAAAACCCGCTCCGATACCAATGTGACACACGTGCGGCGGGCACGTGCGGAGATGGTGAGAGAGAGAGGGAGAGAGGAGATGGACACACACGAGAAGCAGCAGCTGAGTGAAGGTCCAGTCCGGCCGCACGATTGAACGAACGAACAGAATGAATGAACCTCCTGCCCTGGGCCTAGGCCGAAGTGATATACCAGCCTAGGTCCAGGAACGGGACAACCTGGTACCGGACCAGGGTCAGGCCGACGGCCTGAAACTGGTCCGGCCTCACTGCCGGGCCGTAGGGGTACCGCACCAATAGCTCTGTTTCTCAAGCCCGCCATCATGATGTTCTTGCCCTGCTGGATATGTTCATTGCGCATAGTCCATATCGCCCACAGCACCACTCCCCTAACCACTTCAGCTCCGTACACCCTCTGCTTGTCCGTTCTTTCCACGACCATTAATGCCCCTTGCAGGGTCACTGCATCATCTTCGTCAGTGATTATCCACGGGGATGGCTCCTTCATTGTCCGTTCCCACCATCGCCAGAAGTCTGCGATCACCGGGCAGTGCAAGAAAAGATGGGGAATGGACTCAATTCGCCGACACCCCGCTGCTGAGCAGAGGCCCTCCTTGTCTCCGCTTCTTGTTGCGAGGCACTTTGCCGTGGGGAGTGCTAGATGATAAATCAGCCACAACAATCCAGCTTGCCTTTGATCAGGGAGGGCCCTTAAGATCGCACACTGCTCCTTCCATCTTCGGTACATCCATTTAAGGATCAGTGCCAGCGGGATCCAGTCCCCTTTTGCCCATCTGTCCCTAAGCTCAGCAGCTATATCCACCTTTGGGAGAATCGCCCGATAAATTTTCTTTGTAGCGAGCTGCTGCAGGGGGTCAGTTCTATTATTAAAGTTCTGAGGGGGGAGGGCCCATTCTTGGGGTTCCAAAGCCAGCTGCCTCCTAGTCTTGGGGAGGCAGAAGGGGAGAAACTGTTCGTTGCTCCTCCTACCTCCCTGCAAACCGACACCGACTCCACGTTGGCCCAGAACCAGCTGGCCCATTTGGTGTTTTGTTAGTCTTTGTGGAATTTCAGACCCAACAACTCTCGCAATACTTAAATGTGCCCATATTTATACGGGCCCGTGTGGTAAGGACAGCCAATGTCTTAGCAGCTTCCTCCACATCAATGCTGTTTCTGCAGCCCGCATTTGAGCTCCACATAACTACAGTCTACCACACTCGAAACATAGCCCTCTGCTTCTTGGCCCGAATGATGAAGTGCAGTCAATGCAACCAAAATTTCCAATTCATCTTTCTGTCTTTCTAGGGCCTGATTTCTTGTTTTTGTGTGCTCATCATCTCCAGCAAACAGCATGCACTGTAAGTGAAAGAAAATGGTTATACTATAAACCACATCAACACGGGTGACGAGAACCGGTCAAGAAGATAATCCGCCTTGTGTGATTGATTGTATGTCGTGCACGATACACCGCTTCTAATAATCGACAGTAAGTGCCACAGCCTCAGTTAAATGAAAGAAAATGGTTATACTATAAACCACATCAACACCGGTCTAGAAGATAACCCGCCTTGTGATTGATTGTATGTAGTGCACGATACACCGCTTCTAATAATCGACGGTAAGTGCCACAGCCTCAGTTAAATAATCGACGGTAAGTGCCACACCTTCAGTTAATTGTCTGCATGACCAGGCTCTCTTGCAGGGTGAGAAATTCATCATCACTTAACCACAGCCGGCGAGATCTCCTGCACAACCAATTGAAAGTTCATCCAGAGCAATTGGCGAAAGAGGGCAATCATATTTAACATGGGTACAGACAGCCAATCAGGGCAATCATATCTAACATGGGTACTTAGCTCTTCCCTCCCAGCCCGATGTTGATTACCAATCAATGCCAAGTATATGCAGCATCCAAATGCCATGTCAAATTGTCTGTGTACCGTATCTAGTCAGCGCTCAAAGCTGACTCGCACGGTCACAGCAGCACACAATCAGGCTCCAGGGCACTATAGGCACAACTCTTCATACCGCCAGGACCGGTCAGCAGCGCACAAGGTATGCAGGCCCCGCCATCCAGTCATTCCATCCTCTAGTGCGGATCATCCGACAGTAATGCCACTCTTTGCCTACAATGGCTGACTACTTCAGCACCTCCCAAGTGAGGTGTGAGGTACCTGCTCGATACCGAATTGTGATGAACCCACACGAGAGAAGCTTACAATGTCAACAACATCCCTCTTCAATTCCCCTTCTCCTCCAGTTCTCTCCCACTCTGCACCCACCACGTATCCCTCGCCAATACAACTGGACCAACCTCCAGAGCTAAGTAGACATGCATTGTGGAGGTTGGCGCTCAACACGAAACCGTTGGTCTCTTGAAGCAAGCGCTCGACTCAAAACCACCAGTCCCTTGAAGCAAGTGGCTGCCCCGTCATCATCAGCACTACCAGGTAAGCCTCTTCTCTCTTTCGCGACACACGTCTGATCCTTACGTACATCTTGGCTATGGGGTGCCTCTCCTCTGGCTATGGCTATGCAACTCCATAGATGCTGCTGCATTCTTCAGCCATTTCAAATGAAGGTGAACACAAGAGTGTGTGTACCCTCTCTCTCTCTCTCTCTCTCTCTCTCTCTCTGCCACCTCCTCCAGTGCCAGTTCTCTAGGGCAATGCTCCAGCATCAAGGAGCGTGAGGCCTGAATGATGAACGGACTGGGGCAGGCCTCTCTTTTCTGACTCGGCCTGGCCTGCCTCCACTTGCCTCCTCGGTCGGCTGAGATCTCTTGATCTGGGTGGTGCAGAATTGTTGCTGGCCAGTGTGTGCCTGAACCCTGTGGGCATTGGGAACTTCATCAGACCGCGCTACCCTAGTTGGGCCTGACTATTGAGTCTAGTATCGACTTAGTCTGGTACTGCCTCTGGGTTTCACGGTGAGCCTCTTTTGACTCTAGACCGAGTACTTTTGGCCCCTGGTGACTTTGACCCCTGAACACCATCTGGACCAAAAACGAGGACCCTGGACTGTTCCTGTGCGGATTTTGGACATGGTTCGTTGTAATGATTTCCTTTCTCGGTAACTTGCTGTTCTCTGTTTTTTTCCTTTCGCTTTTCCTTTTTTCTCTCCCAACAAGTCGCTGAATATGGATGCGTCGGGACTCGGGAGAGTCCCATTACCCTTACTGCTGCTGCAAAAGAAACGAAGTTTAAAAAACACTTTCTGTTGAATCTGTTCTGCAAAGCTGTTGCTTCGAGATCTGACTGTTCGTTGAAGTCTTCTGTTTCTTTTCTATGTTAATGATGAGCTCTGTGCCGGGGTAATGGTGAGCTCTTTGCAGGGGTTATTTCTTCCGGGAGTCATTTCTTGTCGACTGCCGAGTTACATGGCAAGCAGCTGGAACACATGCGTCCATGCTTCTTTGGGATGGCGTGCACTGTGCTTCTTCTTACAATGGCTGATGGTAGCTTTGGGCGTTGACTGGTGTCACTGCATGTGCTGTCCATGCCAAAAGTGACGTTATGTCATGGTATTGACTACTTGATGATGATGATGATGATGATGATGATGCCTGTCGTGATTGATTGTTAATGGAAAATTGGGCACTTCTTTGTGATGGTGGTGGCTGTATGTGGCGATAGCATTGTGTGCAACAGAGACCTTATCCAAACTGATTCTCCCGGCAACTTTGAGAGGTCCTGTGTCTTTGATTTCATTCATCCAGTTGTGTTACGGACTTCACCAGGGCTCCATCCCTGCTCTATCTTTTTGCTGTTTCGGCTGCATCCCGTTTTCGGCCTGGCACCCTTTTTCCAAACCCCTCCTTTGGTACCGTAGGATTTTGGACAACTGGCGCCATGCTGCAATTCGGGCGCCACTTTCAAATACTGCATTTTTCAGTTCTGCCCTCGGGGCCTTTGTAGAAATGCCCCTGGTACCGTACGTGTCACCGGTAGTACTCGCACTCAGTGTGACTTGCTGTTTCGGGATTCGGAATCCAAGACTTCGACTTTGTGCCTTGCCACTGTGTCTGCGTCCGACCCTCAGTCCGAGTCAGTCGTGTCGAGTGAGTGAGTGTGTGTGTGTGCTCTCACTCTCTCCCTCTCTCTCTCCTCTCCCTCGGCTCACCCTCAGCCTCTCGCCCGTCACAAGTTGCATCATCTGGATTGTAACTGAGTCTATAATTTAATAGTTCACGGGTGTACCAACTGAGCAAGGCTCGGTGGTAGTAGGGGTCCAGCGGGCCAGCGTGCTGATTTCATACACCCTGGTGTTGTGAGTGATGTGCAGGCTTTCTTTGAGATTCAAGAAGAGGCCCAGAAGCTATTGACGACAGGGGAAGTGGATACAGATGCGAGCATCCTGCAGAGGGGTGGTTGGACATCTCAGCGAGTGGCAAATGAAGAGTTGTATGGCCTTGATGAGCATGTGAAGAAGTTGAAGGGAGTGCTGACACAATCGTTCAGGGGAGCGAAAGTTGTGGGGATCGTTGGGGTTGTGAAAGATAGTTCGCAGAGTGGAGAAGGAGGTTCTGCTGAGCATGTGCTGAAGATTGGTGGGGTTGGCAAGACAACTCTTGCCAGGGCTGTGTTCAACGATGTGGATGTGAGACGACATTTCACGGGGGGATTGCTCTGGGTTGATGTCCATCGGATTAACGAAGTGTTTGCCATCCAGAGGAAGCTGTGGAAAAAGATCGCTGGTGCAAAGACAAAGCTTGAAGGGGATATCTCCCGCATCTTGAAAAGAGAGTTAGCGGAAAAACGTATACTTATCGTGTTTGACGATGTGTGGGGCCCAGAGACTATTGAGTGGGTGTATGGTGTCATGTCAGCAAACAGCAAGTTGCTCATTACAACTCGTGATGAGAGCATTGTCAATCGGGAAGGGACAACTGTATACAAGCTTCCCACGTTGAATAATGATCACTCATTTAGACTTCTTTGCCAGTACGCATTTGGCAGTGTGGAGCCGCCTCCTCGCTTTGAGAGTTTGTTGGAGGGTGTGTGCAAAGAATGTGCCGGGTTGCCGATTGCATTGAAGGCGGTTGGGTCCTCACTGAAGGGGAAGGGTGTGGAAGGGTGGAAGTATGCGTTGCGCAGACTCCAAGGTGCGAGGACCCTCGGGGAACAGTTTTCATCGGAGATCATCAGCTGTGTGAGATTCTCATTCGACGGGCTTGCAGCAGACGACCCCAGGCTTCAAGATCTGTTCCTCGATTTTGCAGCCTTCATGAAGAACGAGAAGATTCATTTGGAAAAGCTGCTGCTGGTGTGGTCGACGGCGAAAGATATAGCTACCGAGGACGAGGCTCTGGCTCTCGTTGCAGTTTTGGTAGGTCGTGCGTTAGTCGAGCAGGGTGTGGATGGCGATGGAAAGCCCTTTTGCCGCATGCACGGGGTTCTTCAGGACATGGCTTTACAGATCACAAGGATGGCTGGCAAGGAGTTGAAGGGGAAGGGGCACGGGATGCTGTCGTTTAAGTTGGCAGCGAACGCTGCAACGAAGGGTGAGAGCGATGATGTAGCACAGAGGGAACGTATTTACCTCTCCGGTAAGGCTGTCAACAGATGGGTCGAAGAAGTAGAAGCAGTGGGTGATCCCGCAGAAAGTGAAGGCCGCCCGCTTCCTGTGTTTGAAACCCGGAAGGTGTCACTCATGAGGAGCAACCTTTCGACCTTTGATATCCCCGTGTTGATGCCAAGACTGGAAGTGTTGAGTCTCCGCAAGAACTCGCAGTTGATGGAGGTCTCCGATCAGCTGATGTGTTCATTTGAGCAACTGCGCGTGCTAGACATAAGCAACTGCCCATCGATTTTCTATCTTCCCTCCTCGCTCACCGAGCTGATGGAGTTGCGGATACTAGACCTTGCAGGCTGCTGGCGCCTCCGCGGCTTGCCTGAATCGATTGGTAACCTAACCCATCTTCGCGTGTTGAATCTGCACAAATGCAAGAGCTTGAGATCGATTCCAAGATCACTGGGCCGGCTATCCAATCTGCGCGTGCTAGACATGTATGGGGTGGAGGTGGCACGAGTTCTTCCATTTGAGCTTGGGCATTTGACGGCGTTGGAACGACTGGACATCTCTGGGCTAGGACTGTGTGAGATGCCTTGGGATGTAGGGAATTTGAGAAACTTACGATCCCTTTGCATGAGGAACAACCACCTGGAGTACCTCTCCGAGGAATTAAACCTTCTGGACAAACTTATTTCACTGGACGTGAGCTCCAACTACCTGCGGGCACTTCCCTTCAGCCTGAATGAACCGCTGGATAACCTGACATTCCTTGACGTTAGCTGCAACAGACTGAAAGAGCTCCCGTCTACTTTGGGACTGTGTCTCACCCAACTAACCATCTTGAACATCAGTTACAACCCTTTGGAGACTCTTCCGAGTTCCATTGGAATGCTCGATGAACTGCGGGAACTGCACGGCTGGGGCACGTCGCTTCTCAAGCTGCCATCTTCTCTGAGCAACCTGACAAATCTCAAGGTCCTTAAGCTGGGAGCAGCGGATAATGCTGGCGATGACCGGGGTATCTTTCCAGGGGAAACGAGTTTCACTTCCATTAGCACTGCTCTCAACCGCGGGAACGCCCGACACGCTAGTAACGATAATGCGGCGAGCACTGAGGAAGAAGATGGCGAACCATCTGTGAGTTTTCAGTCGCTGCAGAACTTGGTGGATGTTGGCCTGGAAGCGTGCAGCATACCGCTCCCTTCCCTGCAGTCGTTGACAACGGTTTCAAGCATAAAGTCTCTGACATTCGACTGTCGCAACCTCAAGGATGCGCGCGGTATAGACCTAAGTCCTCTGCAGTCCCTTGAGTACTTGCGTATCGGATCGACGATACCCGCCGCCATTTGGCAGTCGTTGGCCGAACTCAAGAGGCTTAAAGAGTTGGAGTTATTCAACTTGGCCGGCGTGGTCCGGTTTGGCCGAATCGACTTCAGCAACCTGCAACAGCTGGAGGTCTTGAAGTTGTCTGGGTCCAACTCCATCATGTTCCCGGGGTCTGTGGGTAAGCTAACGCAGCTACGAGAGCTTTTCATCAAGGGCTTTGGAAGGCTGACGCATTGTGACAACGTGAACTTCCAGAACCTTGCATGCCTTGAGAAGGCGACGTGGTGGGGTTGTAACAGCATCGAAAGGTTGCCAAAGACACTAGGTTTGGCCGGCAAGCTCGTGTGCATTGTCGTGGGGCACTGCCCTCGCCTCTCTCTCGTCCCAAGAGCAATTGGAGAGAGATCAAAGAAAAGACAAATCAGCTTTTTTACCTATAACGTCTGCGAACCACTGAAGTACTTCTGATATATATATTTTATTCATGGCACCGTGACATCATTCTTTTTGGATATTTGTCAATGTTTGGTGAGTTGTTCAGCGCACCCCGCCTCCAGCCCGTGCCTCTTACCCCACTTTTCCCCCACATTATTGCTATTCATTAAAATTTAAAACTTATTATGTCAATATTATGACTCAGTAAGCAAATGAGGAGAAGAGCCTACTAAATGCATATACTGAGACAACAACTGCCATTGAATCATTGCTTATTATATTAATATTTATTATGTCAATATAAGCAAATGAGGAAATGAGCCTACTGCTTTTGCATATCCTGAGACCAACAACACCAGCCTGTTTATGGCCAACATCCTCGCTTCTTTTACGGTGCCTGTGTGCCAAAATTTGCACACGTGTTATGGAAAGAGAAAACTGGCTCCGAACCCGAAGTGGAACTTGTCGGTGGAGGACCATAAGGCCCTTTTTCTTTCACTACAAGGAACTGATTTGTCGATTCGCTGGGTACTTCTTCTTCTTTTTCTTTTTTTTTTGGGGGACCATTTCTCGATCCATGTGTGTCATCCTTGAATGTGTGGGGGCCATGCTAATGTTCTCTCTCTATATCGTTAAACTACCAGTACTTCCTAGAGTCGTGCCCGTTAACGCGCCAGGATTTTAGGAAACGTACGGGCTACTACAGGAGCGCCCAAATTCATCCGACTAGAAACGTTTCTTCTTTTTTTTCCCCTCCGCGGCCGATAGCTGGGCCAAGTACTGGTGGTTTAAACTTTAAACCAATTTGAACGGATGTCCTGAAGGACCTTCACTGCGTACTTCTCATCTTTGCTCTGACTAAGTAATGAGATGGAATTATATCGAGGAAACCAAGGCTACCAGAGTGGCCCGGGGCCACTTGCTCAGCCAGGCACAAAAAAAAAAAAAAAAAAGAATGTTTGACAGTTTGAGGCAAAAGTTGCTCAGTCTATTTTTCTGCATAACGTAGGTTTTTTTACCGGTTTTTTTTTTTTTTGTTGTTGTTGTTTTTTTGTCGGGACCTTCCCTGGTCCTTGCACGGCCGCCCCCCCGGGGAAAACAGGGTGACCCGGGCAGCCCGGCTGGTAGCCTTGGAGGAAACATCATTTTAGATTGGGATGCTGTGCGGAAGTTACTATGGCCTCTTCCCAGAAGATGTGCACGAATCCAGCAATGATTCAAATTGAGAGGCAATGCAATGGGCAAGGGAATGCCCTTCAGGACGTCCGTTAAAATTGTAAATCTAAAAAAAAAAAAAAAAAAAAAAAAAAAAATTGCAACTCTACAGAGAAGATTACATGGGCCCTGCACAAGGATGACACGCATAAATCAAGAAATGCTCCAAATTAAAAACAAGAGTCGGAGGACGGGAAAAAGGGGAGGGTGAAAGGGGTTCACCGGAGAAGCCTAGAGACAGGAGAAGTGAAACAGATTTTAGGGAGGCTTAGAGAATGAAGGCGCAGGTCCGTGATCTGATACTGCCCCCCGGGGAGCCCCCAGAATGTGTGACTGGGTACTGTAGGACCCGGCGTAGGTTTCCCGACATTATGGGAGGCCCGGGTGAGGAAATAAATAAACAACACGGAGCAACCCCCCCCCCCACCCCCTGCAAGAGACTCGTGCGGCAGGGGCAGAGGTTGTTCTTGCTCTCTACTCCTGTATCGAACACTGTTTCATGCTTGCCGGTGATAAGTAACTGGACTGCTGCCCCCTGGAATAGACGGGGCGTTCTTTTCAAACAAACAAAGAAAGTTTAACAAACAAACAAACAATCAAAGAAACAAAGAAACAAAGCAATGGGAGGCAGGTAAGAGAAATGGGGGAAGGCAAGCAAAAGATCAATAGAAGGCCAAGCCCTGCATGTAATGAGCCTCAATAGTCTTAAAAGTGAGGAACAGTGAAAGGAAAGACGGCTGGTATTGACTCAGATAATTATCAGCTGACTGCATCCACCCCCCCTTTCCCCCTCCCCCCTCCCCCCTCCCCTCTCCAAAACCTGTCCTCCTTCCCAGCCGTTAAATCCGTTGAATAGTCTTTCCCGATGGGCTGTCCCCTCTTCGTCTTTTTCCTTACCTGGCATAATTTCTCTCTTGCTGTTCTTCTGAAGAACATTTGTTAATGGTTAACCTTCCTTGCTGCTAAAACCTAAAAGAACAATAGCAAAAGGAAAATAGGAATCACTGTGTCTCTCTGTTCCCAATTGTCCCTGATGGTCCTCGCACTACGGGCAGGAGTAAAGAATAAGAAAATAGGAAGATAGGAAAAGGAGAATAGGGAAGGAAAAGAAAAAAAAGAAAGAGAATAGGGAAATAGGAATGCTGGTCATAATTTGTCATAAGTCTATCTCACTGTTTCTTTCTGTTCCCAACTATTCTTCCTCTTGGTTCTCGCACTACGGGAGTGGAGGAATAGGGCCTACCGTCTTCACCCGAACGGAACGCCCGGTCATTATAGCAGTATATTTGTACAAACTTTCAGTCTAGGTACAGCGATAATGACCGGGCGTTCTATTCGGGTGAAGACGGTAGTTACAGTACAGGCTATCCGTCAACAATTTGAACGACTCTGGACCTCAAAATCTTGGTGGATGGCAAGTGGTGCAACCAAGGCCATAGCCATCTCAGCTTGTTTGCAGTGTGGTGCAACCAGGCCCATCCGAACCTTAAACGTTTTGAGGTTCAGATTCATTCAAATTGTTGACGGATAACGGGCATTAACAGGCCCATCAAGTTGTGCCCGTCAATGCGCCGCACTTTTAGGAAACGTACGGGCTACTAAAGGAGCGCCCAAATTCATCCGACTACTCTTTTTTTTTTTCCGCGGCCGACAGCTGGGCCAAGTACTGGTGGTTTAAACCACCAGTACATGGGCACGCCTGGGCCGCAGGCCTGACACCTCAAATTCTGGAGGCATGAAACGGAAACGCCACTGCCGATTGAATTTATCGACGGCGGGCCCAGCGTTTGACGTTTCGGCCTCGCTTTCTTGTGGCGACAAGTTTCGGACTGCATGGCTGGGGTCGTGTACTTGTGTGGTTTAATGCCACTTTCCTCAATCCGTGCCGACATACTCACTTCTGCAATGCACTGATCTCTCACTGTAGGGTGCACACCATTTCGCACCATTGAGGATGCTGCCCATTAAGCCGCCAGTTCACACGAAGCTAAGCAGTGCTCTTTACCGCCATACAGGGTAAGAGCATTTCAATCCGGGCCTGTGCTGGTAGCGAAAGCGGCAGGCCACTTCCAAAAGGTGTAGTTGCTGCCTTGCGAGCCTTGGAAGGTAGCCCCGTCAACGTAGGCTCGTTCGTGTGAGCTGGTAGCTCCGTCAACGTAGGCTTGCTCGTGTGAACTGGTAGCTTCATCAACTTGGGCTCGTTCGTGTGAACTGGTAGCTTCGTCAATTTAGGCCCGTTCGTGTGAACTGGTAGTATAACGGGGACATGATTCCTTAGAGAAGCTTTTCCTCTTGGTGAGGCCATCTGCCTGTGGCAACACTTTGTGCATTGTGAACTCTTGTCGATTCACTGTAAGTGTGTTTTTGACACTGCTGTGGCAGCGTCTCCACCCGTTATCATGGCAGCTCCCTGTAGACTCAACGCTCGGTTTTTACGACACAGAGAGCACCCGCTAAGATGGGCTTGACGTCTCTCTGTGCCGTCATCCATAGAAGCCTTGAAAGCTTTCCGTTAACTCGTTTTGTTTGCGGATAATTAATAATTAATAATTAATCATTAATAATTAATAAGTAATCATTATTTAGCATGCTAACTTTTTGCAGCAATGCATTTTTATCATTTAGAACCCTTGAACTCCTGACTGGCTTGGTGATCGACGTTCGTCAATGTGAGCCGTGTAACAATGACTGATTACTAATTTAATAGTATTTTTAATACTATTTTTTTTTTTTTTCCTTTTTAAACCACCACTACCTGCAGGCCTCCGCATTTCAAGTAGTAGCCTACAGGTTGAAGTGTCAGGAGGCTGGGCCCTCTGTCGATGAAGTCCATCTGCGGCGTCCGTGCGTTACAGGCCTCCACACTTTGCGGAGCCTTTTTGGCGACAGGCGTGCTGCAGGTGGTGGTGGTTTAGTGGTGGTTAAAAAAAAAAAAAAAAAAAAAAAAAAAAAACACAAAACAGAACCTAGAGGTTCTGGCTCCTTTCCATTCTGGGGAGCGTCAGTCCAGTTCCTATTCGACTGACAAGTCATAAAGGATTATAATTTATAAATCGATATATAATATATATACTCACGCATGCTCCTTCCCAGTACAGTTGCAAGGCCCGAGTGGACGGCATTGATTACTTCCCGAGGGAAAGATTGTACCATCCCTCAACTGAGTAATACTTGTACTATTTCACCATGGTACAATCAGGGTAGCAACGGGGATTAGCTTCCTGACTGTGGTTTAGGAAGGGCGGGCCGTCTTTGTAGCTGTTGCAAAAGAAAGGTGCATCCCTCAGCATACACCTTCCCTTCCCCCCTTCTTTTGTTTCTTCCTCACTGTAATATCCCTCCATGTATGTAATAAGTTCAATTATTTTAAAATTTTTAATACCTTCAGGAAGAGTTTTGAGAACTGCTGTAGCCGCCCGTCTAGACTCGGTCAAAAGGTACCTTCCATGTCCATCTGTACTTTCATTTTAATTTATTTATTTAAATTATTTTATATAATTTTATTATTGCTTTTCTTTTCTTCTTAAAGTAAAACCATGTGTACCTTTAGCAGCTATTGTGTTCATGGAAGTCCGGTTCTGCGATCTCTCATAAGGCCTACAACCCATTCTCCATCCTAGCAGCTTTCCTGTCGAAATCCCCTTTGATTTTCTCCTGCTAGTGTCCGTACCACACCCGTCCTGAAAGTTTCTGAATATTACCGTGAATATTACCGTGAATATTACCGTGACAGTCACACTGACCACTGATGGAGTCGAGTCAAACAGTTAATTGCCCTCAACACGCTTGAGGAAAGTTAAATTTCTTTCCATTTCTTGTGTAGAGATAGAGTTTACAGGATCGAACCCGCAGCAGTCCTTGCCTCGTCCCACTTACCTCCCCCGTTTTCCCTCTGTGCCGCCCTCCCCCCTTGCCCCAGCTTTCTCCCCTGCGAATTTACCTGGGCACTGTGCCAAATGCACATGCTATGAAAGCTTGCTGAATCCACTCTTGTGTCAGCTGGAGAGAATGGCTGAACTGAAAATTTCCCAACCCCACGAGCTGGACTGAAAGGAACAAGCAAACGGTAACCGAACAGAAATGTCGATGTACAAAGTTGAAAGTTCTAATTGAAAGTTTCTAATTTTTGAAAGTGAACAAATCACTAACTGGAAGTCGTCCGGGGACATCCGTTGAAGCGATTGGAACGATACAGAGAAAGAAGAGATTAGCATGGCCCCTGTGCAAGGATGACACACACAGATCGAGAAATGGTCCCGACTCCCAAGTAATTAGTTACCAAAAAAAAAAAAAAAAAAAAAAAAAAAAAAAAAAAAAAAAGCAAAGGCTATCGAGGGGAAATGCTGGATACTGTCAGGGGGGTTCTGCTTCGGTGATTTTAGTAAAAACACCTGCTGGAGGAAGGCGACCCCTTTCTGAGACCTCAGCCGACTCATGGTGATGCTGTGGTCTTGCCCACATCATTGAATCGGTCTCAACCTTCCGTCTATTGTTCCTTCCTTCCACTCCTATTGTCTCCCCCCCTTTTTTTTTTGGGACTGTTTCTCAATTCGTACGTGTCATCCTCGATCAGAGGGCATGCAAATCCATCTGTTCTCTGTATCGTTCCCGACGCTCCAATTGTAATGTAATGCATGTCCCGAAGGACGGCTGCGATCGTCTCCTCCTCCTCGCAGTGAGTGGTTTCACATTCAGGTTTCTTGACTCACATCACACCCACCCTATGGTGGTTTGTGCTTGTTGCATTGACTTGTTTCAGGTTGGCTAAATATACAGACCTGGAGTGTAAAGCTTCCGAGAATGTGCAAGAGCTACTGCTGTCCTTGGGCACCCGTTGAAATCAGCTCGGTGCTCTGTTTCCACTTTTCAAGTATGACGTTGCACATGCCACGCTTGCACTCCCGAATGAAAGCCTTTTTTTTTTTTCTCTCTAAGCCTTTCCTTTTTTCTTTCTTTTTTGAAGTTTTCTCTTTTTTTAGCAGAAGAACTCTTAGAAGTTAGGACTCTCTCTTGTCCGTATCCGTCTATTTGTCTGCTTCTGTCCGTCATTGCGTGTGTGTGTGTGTGTGTGTGTGTGTGTGTGTGTGTGTGTGTGTGTGTGTTGGTGTGTTTTTGTGTTTGTGCTGTTGTTTTGGGGTGAGGGGGAGGGGGAGGGGGAGGGGGGGCTGAAAAAAGAGGCCTCTTGCATTGGCCATGTTTTTTTAATTATACATAGTAACAGGCAGGCTAACAACTAGAGGGTTTTATGGATTTGAAAGCAGAGGAATTTCCGCTAGACTCAGCTAGAGTGTTTTTGTGAATACAAGCAATGCCCCAGCTCTGAGGTAAAGGGAATAGACGATTGGGCACAGAGTGAGGGGAAGGTGGTACCCTCTTGAAATTGGGAGGCTTGAATACATACATGCAGTGTTTAAAAGTTTAAACTTTCAGTGTTTCAGGTGATTTTGCCTTTAAATTTTGAAAGGATTGCCGTTTAAGTTCCCAGTGAAGGTCATGGTCCAAAGTAGGTTGTCACGAGCAGGTGCCAGGCTAGCATATGTTGGCGGGTAGACCCGGCGAAGA